CGCAGAGGCTCCGTGATCGGCAGGGGTTAGCCGGTTTGTACCGCCGAGGAGTTGGCCCTGGACCGCTCAGACGAAGAGGACCTTGGCCCTCCGCCGTCAGGGGTGCTCAGCGAAGGGATGCACCAGTCAACTGGCGACCCAACAGAAGAATCGTTGCCCTCCAGGCGGGCCCTGTTTGATGGAATCCCAAGGACACCTTTGGTTCAAAACGCGCTGGCCCTCCCTGGATTGACGCCTGTGCCTGTGCTTCCTTCGACTCCGATGGTTCCCACCCCGAGTAACCCAATCCCCAAGCCACCCCCAGCGGTGCCTCACCCTGCCCGACGTCGGGGCCGGACCGAGGTGATCAAACCCAATGACAGCTCAGCGCAGGCACTCCTGGTTATGTTACAGAAATCACATGATCGCCAAGAACAGTCACAACTGGAGGACCGCCGGGTGGCCGAGAAGAAATCAGATCAGAAAGAGGTAGCGCGCGTGCAGGCTAAGGCTGAGGCAGACCACGACCAAGCCATGCGGGAGGGCCAGCTCCAGATTGATCGGGACCTGGCTGACAAGAGGAATCAGCTATTGGACGAGGAGCACCGTGCACGAGAGGCGGATCGGAAGGAAGAACGGCGCCTGGATATGGAGTGGCGGGCGGAGGAGGGTCGTCGGTACGAGGCCAGTCAACAGCAGTTGGCGGCAGATAGGAAGGATCAAGAAAAAGCACGTCGGGCACAGGAACAGTCAAGTCAGTTGTTTCAGGCGGCGCTCATGCGCATGCTGGGTGTGGGGGGCGTCATGCCTCAGGCCGAGGGCCCGTAGGGGATCATTGGGGGTTTCCTAATCTTGTCATTTCATGTTCTCATCGTCTCTTATTGCCTGTTTTCCTCTTCGCACTGCCTGTTTTCCTCTTTGTACACATGTGATCTCTCGGCCCCTTGGCCGTGGGGCCCCACTGGGGGCGGGATGATAGCAATCAACACCTAGTGTTTCAAAGACTGTATGAGTTAGGGTTCCGAAAGCCTAACCACAAGGCTGCCAGGGTGAGCACTCCTGATCAACTTGCTGGCCACCAGCCTCCGAAGAAGCTTTCTGTGCCATTGCTCCTCCCGAAATATGTCAGCCAATGATTCTGATGACCGGTCCATCCCCGATACCGACCTCACAGCAACCGCATCTCTCACCGCCGAGGTCCGCCAGTTGAAGGAGTTACATGGCATAGGCAACTGCCCGTCAAATGTTCGGGCAAACGACCACATTGCCTACCATCGCAACAGCATGCGCAGGGCCTGGGTAGGCAACGCGGCACTCATGCCCCAGTCAAGAGATAACCACTGACCGCACTTGACATCCTGCCCTGTACATTACAGCTACCTGAGGCGACCCCTAATGAGCACAGCTTCGGCCAGACGCCCTCGGCTCCCGCCTCGGTGCCGACTCACGATGGAAACATGGGACCTCAGCCGCCCGAGGATTCCTCTCACGCACCCAGCGTTGCTGTCCCGCAGACCCCAGATAACTCATTGAACGTCTTGTCGAGCGCTTACACCAACACCGGAACCTTACATACCAGCACCACCGAAACCGGCTCGGGGGCAGGTAACCCCGAGGACGATGTCACAGCTCTTGGCCAGTCCGCCTCCGGCGGCTCATCAGTGGGGGCCAATGGCGTGGTTGGAGGCCCTGATGAGGAGGCGCGCCTCGCCTGTTCCAATGCCATCCGGATGCTATTTTGGAATGGGTCTTGATGTGTCGAGATTTCATTAACTATCATCCTGATGTATCTAGATTTCATTAACTATCATTCAGGAAACATATGGGTCTTTGATCAACATAAGAGATTGTGAAGCCGATCTCGGATGTTGGACATAGACAACTCATCATCATGCCCCCACTCCCTCCTGCCCGCCTCTTCTGGATGGTTGGGAACCTCGTTGAACCTGGCCTCGGCAGGATTCCGAGTATCCCATACTTGTAGATAGAGTGTTCCACGCTTGTTCAGCAAGTTGTGAAGGATCATGCAAGCAAAAGCATTATTCCGCGCCCTTAAGGGCCTGGCCATCTGAGGATGTAGGAGGATTTGGAATTGGTTCTTCAGGCGGCCAAATGCCTGCTCAACGATTATCCGAGTCAAAGACTGAATAAAATTGAAATGTTTGTTCTCAGGTGTGGCAATAGACGGGTATGGGAGGAGGACCCGGACGTTGGAAGGATACCCAGCGTCCCCAATCAGGTAGGTACCCATAGGGATCATTGCCGGAGCCATAGATCCGGGGGTGATGCTATGTCCCAATTCGGACCGCCGGAATAGCCGCCCATCATGCATGGACCCTGGTGCACCTCCACTGACCTGTTATTATGTCAGATGGTTCAACCGATGCCAGGGAGGGGGGTGAATCTGGCCGTAGGATAATGGCAAACTCACATTGCGGAAATTCCCGTCGCCATCAACGACACATTGAAACACAATAGAAGCCCAGCTTTTTCTATTGATGTAACCCTTCCATCGGTCCTCAGCAGGGACAGCCAATGGGATGTGGGTACCATCAATGGCCCCCACCACATTGGGTATCCCATGCTTCGCCTCAAACGAAGCTGAGATCTTGTCCCATTGCTCCTGGTTCGCCAATGCCGGATAGCTTCCCAAAGAACAAACCAGGTGGTATGTCTGTTGCACCCCACCAACACGCCTGCCTGCTGAACAACACTTACCTGATCGCCACACGACGGAACTGTTGAAGTACTGCAATTACAAACCGCCCCGCCGCCTTGTCGGCCGTCTCCTTCCCAATATTGAACACGTGTCCAATGGTCAAGTAGCTGGACCCATGGGCAAGTCGGTACAACCCCACCGCTACCTGTGCCTCAACCGACAGCGGATCTCCCCGGCGCAACGGATCGAGCTGTAAGAGGTCCCGCAGGCTGTCACTTAACCAGCGGAAATCCTCGACTGACATCCGGAAAAACTCCAGAAATCGAGCTGGTGGGATCCTGGTGTCCGACCATGGTTCCCATCGCGGCGGCCGTTGGAATGGCTCTCGGCGAGCGCGGATGTAGAGCCCCTCTCGTAGACGTTCATCCTGTTGAGTAAGGAGCCAAAATGATATCACCTCGTCAGTCAGGTCCCCTTGCATGTTCATGATGAGGCGTGAACCCGGTGGTCCGCTCATTGGCTCAATGGGCCTCATAATGACCCGAGTGAACTGTCTGTTTCACCGCGTCCAACGGTAGGGCCACAAATAGGTCTCAAGGGAAACCTAACCCTGGTAGCACTCCGGCCATATTTGAGGCCTGGTTTCATGAACCCCGTCCGCCAACTGATCATTCACACCAAACAATCATCCCCTGACATAACCCCAACCCTTCCAAATCCCACATGGCACTCCCCTGGGAAACCGATGGCGGAGTCGACGGCCGGCCTAATAGTATCAAGGTCCTCCTTGATTGGCTCTCAGCACCAGGTAACTATGAGCGGTGGACCCAAGCCAAAGTGAAGGCACCTCTGACCAAGGAAATCCACCTCGAGATGATCCGAAGCGGCATCCACCATCGGACCCCACATGGTCAGCCTGTCCTCGATCCTGATTACTCCTTTGACCTCACGCTAACGGATGATGCAGCATAGGCATATCCCTGAAGATCTACATGCTGCATGAAGGATAAATTCATGCATGCCACTACCGACGGCAAACCCCGGAGGACCTCCGCGAACAATTCCCCAATGGCTACCTCTCCTTTGAGGGTAAGTCAGATGCATGGCTTTTTTGGGTATCATCGGCACCCATACTGACCCAACCGTTGCACAGGCTATGCAGACATGATCTGCCATGACTGGGGCCGCCTTGAACAAATCTTTGGTCCGCCAGATGACCTCGCACCTGACGCAACACACCCGGACCCCTTGGCCAGGGAAAGGATCATGTTCAACACCGATGCGGCCTCCGAGCTCGTCGAGTTTATAGATCGCATGCGAACTGAGTATCATGAGACCATGGAGAAGATCCCTGGATATGTCCCATGGTTGACTTACTCCAAGAACAACCAAGAACAGCAAGCCGATTACCCCCTCTTGCACGGCTTAGATCCTGGCCTCCTCCTGTGCCGATATGAAAACCTGACCATAGGTTCCCGCAAACGTCCACGCGGGTCCCCCTAGCAAAGCCCTCCATTCCAATCTTCATGCATGATGTGCTCTTAACTATCGCCAATGATTGTTGCACATGAAATCCTGTTGCCCATTGGCCTTGCCTCTTCCCAATGCATGTAGTGGATTTATTGTCCAATTCATGGGAATTCAATGCACAGCTCGCTTCTCAATCTAACAAGAAGCGACCCATATTTAAAGCAGCAGAGGGTGAAGTCCGACTTGGGAGCCCCACCCATAGGGCTCCCAAATCACACAAGGGCCAGCTTTTCCAGTTCCTCACCCCCTGTGATCGAAGTCAGACCTAATACAGGCCCACCTGGCCCGGGGGTTTATAAGTGCAGAAATTATTTGAGTTGGTTTTGAAAAGTTTTTGAACTTCTTTTTGATTTCTTTTTGATTTCTTTTTGGTTTTCAAATACTTTTCAAATAAAAAAAGCCGAAATCCAAAAACTTGGTTTATAATCAGGGCCTATAAGTTGGTCACAGAGTTCCAATTTATCCCTATTTATCCTCCTCCTGATAGGACACCACTCTACATACCCACAATTCATACCTAAGAGCATTCACATTGGTTGGGTTAAATTGCCTGGTTAAGGTGAGTTAACCTGACCAAGCCTGTTTGTGCACTCGCATTGATTCAAGGTTAACAGCAGGTTATTTAACCAAAAGTTTGATTTCAGGTTTGCGGTTGGTAAATTTAGCGATCGCTAACCAGAAATTTAGCAATTTCGCGGGGAGTTGTCCTCCAGGGGTTTGTTAACCTGGACGGATGCGTTTGACGACAGTAGGCTAACAAACCCGGACCTCCCACCCGGGTTTCCTAACCTAAAAGTTAACCAGACCAATGTGAATGCTCTAAGAGTGAGTGCATGAGAAATTAAGGTTTGTGTCTCAAGATATTGTTACAATATCTTGAGACACAAACCTTAATTTCTATTGTAAAAGGACTTTACAGTAAACTTACAAGTGAAACTGGCCCAACTGCCAGAATCAAACACTTCTGGCATGTTTAAAATGCCATGTATAAGTGGCAGTCAGTGGACGACTCCTGTCTGCGGGCCTCCCAGAGCCGATTTAGAGCTTGAAATTCAAATTTCTCTGCAAAACTCAAGAATTTTTGGCTTTAGATCCACTTTTGCAAGGGTCCCAGATCTGAGGGGAAGTCCTCCAGTGTATTCCAGATGACTGGTTATACCAGCAACCTCAAAGAGGGGCAACCCAACTACGTAAACTCTCTGCTCAGTCTGGCCAGCCTGAGGAATCCTTGGACCAGCCTTTCCAAGCAGTTCTTGGACATGGTTGTCTGACAAGAGGTTGGACTTGCCTGTCCAAGCAGATTGTTCTGCCCATCAACAGCTTGGACAAGCCAGTTTGACGACTCATCAGATGGCTATGTCCAAGAACTGCTTTGGCAGGCCAATTCAATGACTTGTTGGACCGGTGTGTCGGAGCAGTTAGCTGAGGCAGTGCCCCCTGGGAGACTTGTTCTAGGAGATATTTAAATTTTAGCCACACAGGTTCTGTACAACCAATAGCATGGGTGTTGATGTCAAATTCAATTTCAAGTGCTTCCAATCTACAGCTATTGTGTAAATGATTGCACCTTTTGCACTTCCTTTTTTTTCTCACACAATTTTTTTTTGCCCCCAATCCTCAAAGCCTGGCCCTGCCTTTGCAAACTACCGCAAAGCACACACTGGCGGAGGCCATCCATTTTCACCAATCAACCTCAGTTGCACATTTTTTTGGGGTCAAGTTGGTCATGATAATTGGGGTGTGTTGATAAACGCACTCCCCACCCGCCCACACCCCCGCCCCTCCAAAAGGGGTGTGCAATCAAATCTGAGGGGAGGGTTCTTCTGCCCGCCCCTTTTGGAGGGGTGGGGGTGTGGGCGGGTGGGGACGGGGGGGGGGGAGCGTTTATCAACGCACATAACTGGGAGGTAATATCCTGCAAAGTTACCCAAAGGGCTTGGAGCTTCAAGGATTGGAGGGAAAAAAAGTGGAAAAAAACTGTTTGGAATCAGCGCAAACATTTCTACAATAGCTGTAATAGGTCCCAAAATTTGTGACAGGAATCTGAATGCTAGTGGACCTGTCATCTTCATAGTCTGTCTGGTAGAACAGGTTGGATGGTCTTTCTCTTTCCCCTTTTTTCATGCAGTTGGTGTTGTGCTTTTTAAGCTGCCAGGCCAGTCCTGTGCTACATTGGAGATGGCCAGTGAGTGCCCGCAACCTTGTGCAGGTACCCCCCAACCCTCACAGGTACCAGGTGCGGGTGTGGATGCAGGTATGTACTTTGAGGTTCAGGAACACCAGGTACTTGGGTCACAGGAGGGTACCCGGTGCGGATTGTCCTCAGGGCTGATGATCTGGTGGGGTCCAAGTACAGGTGTCTGTGACTGTCCAAATTTGGAGGCAGTACTCACACCCACCACAGATACCCGGGTGCAAATAGCAATATCTATGCTACATCAAACAGAGCAGGATATCTCAAGATGAAAGCCAGGTGATCCTGTTATCAAGGGTCTCATACTTCCCAGTAATGATCATGATGCCTTTCACTTAAAATTCAATTCACTGGAAAATGGAATCAAATGACATTCTAATCAATTAGATTTTACTGAATCATTTCAAGTTTATAATTTACATGAAGTTATGAAATCAATTCAAAACTGCAAAATGGAACCTCTGCAGGATTTCTTGGCAGGTCAGGATCAAAGATTTTGTACTATGGATTTGACAGAGAAGCCTTCAATTGTGAAATGTCCAATATTAGAATATTTGATTTTTTTTTTCTATCCTGGTCAAGGAGAGAGGAGTGGTTATCATCCCATACATTCTCACTATGAAGATGGGGTTAAAGATCAATCATGCTTGAAGCCAGAGGCTCCAAAAGGAAAGAAAAACGGAAAGCCAGAAGGTGTTCAATATCAAGGTAGTCAAGTGATTACTTATCTAGTTAAATAATTGATCACTTCAAATTCAATTGGTATGGTTTAATCTTTTTTGGTCTTTTATACTTGTGCTATTTCAGATTACATGTATGGATCAAATTCAATATGCAGGAAGACATCCCTTTTTTTACCTTTCCAAACCAATTTGATGGACATAGCCCCTTTGCAACTTCAGATAGAACACTGGAAGATAATTCAAGTATTGAGATTAAAACTGATTTTATCCATAGTAAAAATATTCACATACAGCAGGAAATTGAGAGAGGCTACAGAGACTTCTTTTCCAGCAACAAAAATTTCAAGGCAAACTTTATTGAGTACCCAATTTTAGAAAATTTCATCAAAAGATATACTCATGAGTATGAATCTTTCACACATGATAAAAATATCTTTTGGAATCAATCAAAAGCAATATGAAAACATCTTCCAGTTTTGGAGTGTATTAATGAAACAACTGAGAAATACCTGTAAAAGGAATTTTCTCTTGCTCACTTGAAACATTTGCTTTAGTGGATCCTTTCTGTCAGGACAGGACCCAGGCAACCCCTTACAGAGGTGCCTAACCAAAAATCCAAGATTTTTCTAAAATTCCTACATCTCTGAAAGCCATTCATACACGTTTCGTGCCTACCCTCCTGCTGAGGGGGGGGGGGGGCAGAGCACTAGAAATTCCAATCCTCCAGATTGTCCAGCAACCTCAAACTTGCCTTTTGCCTTTTTTGCTGCTAAAAATTAGCTTTTTTTGCCTTTTTGAGGTGTTTAACAAGTTGTATCCATCAAATTCACACAGGAAAAAGCAAAAAACCCAAAAAGAGAAGGAAAATTTGACAGAATTTTGATAATTGTACATCATTCATACACTCTATGTTAGTACCCTATGAGGATAAAAAGGCCATTCATACATTTTTGGTGTGTATCATTTAGAATTTTGGCCAGAAATTCCTACATTTTGGTTAGGCACCTATATAGGGGGTTGCCTGGGTCCTATCAGGACAAGTGATTCAAAATTTTTTGATCCATAATTGAATTCAAATGTAAGATGATTTGCATAATGAACCAATTGAATGGCTAATCAATTAAATGTTTTATTAAACTCCAAGTCTCCCTGTTTTTGCCATGATAGAAAGGAATAATTATCCTATGAATGAAAATGCATTTGGAGATGTTCAGAAGACAGTCATCATGTTTTCATCAAAGAATATCTCCCATCAGTATTGTATCTCAACTTGCTTATCAATGTTGAAGTGGATAAATAATTTCAAACCATTTATCACAGATTTTTTTTTTACAAAACTGGCAGAGGAATCTGAATTTTAAACTCATGTTAAGGATTTTGTAGTTGATGAAATCAGTTCAAAAATGAAATTACAGCATGGATTTGGTGCATGACTTCAATTGTATATTGGGAATTTTATACTTATGGGACTGGAGAATCTGCCAGAAGGAATAATTCTACCTGGGTATTATACAAATATTTGTGGATTTGGAGAGGAAGCAGAAGGTATAGTTTGTAAAGCTAAAGAATAAAAATTAAAAATACCAAGAAAAACTTGAAATTTAGACCAAATGAAGGTCTTCCAGTTTTTGGGAAGGTGGAAAATTGGAATCAACCACTTGACAGGAAAAAAAAATGGAGATCTCCAAATTCTACTGATCAATTTTTTCAGTTGTAATGTGGAGCATAAACATATGGTACAGATCTCCATTCTTCTACGTGGCTTTTGGTACCAAAATTCCCCATCCAAATCAATGAAAAAAAAAATATACCTAAATGACCAAGAGTTTGGGAATTTATGATTAGTCAATTTTTTTTTGCATGTGTAAAGAAAAATCCAAGATGTTGGGTTTTCTCACCAACCAAGGAAATACTGATACCAGGTATATGTCTCAAAATAAAGACAATACAAGAAATACCAAATACACATCTTGCCTCAGTTTCAGTGTTGGCCTCATGTGCACAGGGGACCAGCCCCTGTTCTGAACAGTGTGATGAGTGTGATATTTCACCCAATTGGATCAAATGCAATTTGGTGACAGACACACACTGTTCAGACCGGAGGGGAATTTCCAGCTGGGTTGTGTCTGAACTGTGTCAGCCTCATGTATGCATGGTAATTTAATTGACAATGTAGAAAAAGATATGACTGAGGTGAACTAGCTGAATTGATGCATGGCAGCAAATAATTACATATTATTTCACAAATAGGTTTTTCTATAGTTCTTGTTATATAATGAACCATTCCAACAAATTCATAGGAATGACTCCAAATTAACTTCAGAAAAAACGCCCTCAGTACAGGATAAAGCTATGGCACTCCCCAGGGAGTGCCCCCAAAGCTTCCCTAGTGTGACAACCAAGGAGAAAGTGGTACTTGACTTACAGAAAGGGCATTTTACAATTGTTAGTTACAGACAGTTCCACATACTGATAAAATCAAGCTCAAAAATAATAGTGAGAGGTAAAAAAGGGATTAATGCATGGAGAATGGAGAGTAGAAAAATAAATAAAAGAACAAGTTCAATTGTCATTTTTTTCTTTTTTTAGTTTTTATCTTGTCTTTAAGTTTGGGATATGAGTGGGTAATTTTTTTATCTACAGCTTGAAGATTGATTTGGAATTCATTGAAGTGGTTTTTATGTTTGTTCAGTAGATCAATCATCCCTTGCCAATATGACTTATCATTTGAAAAATATTTTTCCCATTGGGTTGGATGGATTTTCTTGTACCAGAATCCATTCAAAGCGATCGATACATGTTGCAAGCTCTTGAAGAAGTATTTTTGACTGAAATAATCGATCAAAACTAGTTGAATTTCACTAAATCTTGTGCTATCAAATGGAGGAGCTATCATTTCAACAACTCCGAATAGTGGAAGGACTTCATTTTTCCCAAACAATTCATCCGACAACCAATCCAGGAATTTCCCTTGAGATTCCTTCAGCACCTCAGATAGCTCAACTTCATTCAATTCTGGATGGGCATCGATCATCAAAATTGAATGACAAAACATGAGGTGCAAGAGAAGAGCCCGAGATCTTCTCAGGATTTCAAAATTCTGTATGGTCTCTTGATGTCGGTGTGTAACTCGGATTCCTTGCAGGCCAGATTCTTTGTGCTTGGTTTGCAAAAGATGGACAGGAAGGTTTTTGAACTTTGTTCTGCAATGACATTTGTTTCCAATATCAGTGTTGAAATTTTCAATCTTCTCAACAATCCAACCTGGCTTTCCTTTCAACTTGGCACTCAGGTCAAAATACGATCGAGGAATGACATGTTTGCAATAATCACTTAGATCAGGGATCGAGAAATTCCCACATCTGGCTGGAATCAATGACCTGTTCTCGTTCTGAATTTTCATCTTGGATCTTACTGCATTCGATAACACATCTTCAACAAGGAATTGAAACTGACCCAAACCTAGCGAGCCTTTAAGAAGAAACTTTGAGATTCGATGACTTTGTGTGTGATAAAATTGTAAGATCAACAAGCAAGAATTTAACAAGTCCGACTCAGGATGCACACTTTCAGAGAAATATAAAATCAGATTGGTTTGAAGTTCTTGAAATCTCTCTTGATTCTCCTTTATGAATCCTACCACAGGGAAGCTGTGCTTAGGATGGAAGATTTCTTTCACTAGCCAATCAGTCAATTGATGATGCGAAAAAGTTTCATTTTTGGAAAGTGATTCTTGAGTAAGTCTCCTCAAGACAGCAGTATTGAGGTAGATTGCCCAAGTGACCAACTTCTTTATGTGACGATAGAAAGATTGGCGTTGGACTATTTTACCAGTTGATTGAACAACAGGACGGATGCAACCGTGGTATTTGCAAACCGGTAGATTTTCAATGTTCACACTGGTTGATAGACCAATCCGATGGCATATTTTACCAAGCTGTAGAGCATCATACTCTTCCAGAAATTTCTCGGTAAAAGTTGATAAAGATGGATGCTCTATCCAGCCTAATTTCCTGCTTTGATGTTTGGCGAAAAATCTCCGGATGTATTGCTTCTCTTTCCGAAATCGATCGACCTTATCACTCGCAAGAAAGTCTTGGTTCATCGGGATTTCATCTAACTCTGAGTGAATGGATGGTTCTGCTTCGTCGGATTGATCTGGTGAACTAGGTTGGGCTTTGCTTGATTCTTTGCGAGAGATTAAGCTCGATTCAAATGCAGGATCTGAAAGAGTCAGAATTTTTGTCAGGGTGATCAAGAAACACGGATCAGTTATGTAATTTCCGAACGCTGAATTGTTTGCTTGCCGGTATGCCAGATCTCTTCCAGTTCATCTCGAACTCCTTCTATCGCAAAGCCTAAATCAGGAAGTGTGCGATCTTCTAACCAATGCAGTTGATCGGTATGGGTCCATTGATGACTTCCCACTACTTGGGAGATGGGGTTGAGTGCCACGAACCAACAAAGAACTCAGTGACAGAATGAAAACCTTGAGATCCATTCCAACAATAACAAACTTGGGCTAACCTTCCAAAGCATCACGAAGTTCTTCCTCGAAGTTGGCTGATGGGAATGCTGAGCTGGAGTAGAGTAAACCTAGTGCTGTATCATCGGCTTCTCTATCAGCTCCATAGTACTCTGCCAGCGAGACCAGGCGGACCATGTATCTCTACTGCTTTCAATAAATTCTATTGTATACCTTACCTTCATTTTCACCATGATTTACCAAGTCTGGATGAGAGACCTGAGGTCCGTCTTTCCAGCCATACTGCTCATGATTCTCTTGGCCGTAGATACCCAATGAATCGAGACCATCATTTCCCACTACTTGGAAATGGGTTTGAGCAGGAACTGACAAAGAGCTCAGTGTAAGAATAATGAGACCCTTCAGATGCATTCCAACAATAATAGAGTGGGGCTAACCTTCCAAAGCATTACTAAGCTCTGTATCTAGATTGGCCAATGATAATGACGAACTTGAGTAGAATAAACCTAGTGATGTATCATTGGCTTCTGAATCAGCTTCGTAGGAGTCTGTCAGCCAGACCAGGCGAACTATGTATTCTCATGCCTGTTGCTTTCACCAGCTTTTATACACCTTACCTCCATTTTCACTGTCATTTACCAAGTCTGGATGCAAGACCTGAGGTTTTTCTATCCAGCCATACTGGTCATGATTCTCTTGATCGTGGATACCCAAGAAATCTAAACCATCACTTCCAACTAGATGGGTTCGAGCAGGAACTAAAAAAAAAGCTCAGTGTAAGAATGAGCTTGAGAAGCATTCCAACAATAAGGAACTGGGGCTAACCTTCCATGGCATTGTGGAGTTCTTCCTCGAGATTGGATAGTGATAACGTTGGACTTGAGTGGAATATACCTAGTGCTGTATCATCGGTTTCTCAGTGAGCTTCATATATTTAGTCTGCCTAGTCTGCCAGCGAAACCAGGCGGACTATGCATACACATCTCTGTTGCTTTCAAGACGTACCTTGATTTTGACCATTATCTACGACTTCCGGATGAGCGACCTGAGGTACGTGATCTATCCAGCCATCCTGATGATGATTATCTTGGCGATGGATGATACCCAACGGATCGAGGCCCTCGTCGAGCATCTCTTGAAGGCCGCTGTGGGGAAGCCCCTTCAACAGGTCATCACCTGGCTGCCAGATGGGCATTTGTTCCGCCAGTCCATCTAGCACCGGGGGAGTTTTAATGCACCTTGAAAGGCACAAGAATAGCGTGCAGATTAACCAGGAAGACAGCGAGCATGTTCGGCTCTCAGACATACAGCTAATAACCAAGGAACCAGTATCATGCTTTCTACTGCTATGAAGTTTGCGGATGATGATACGGCCAAGAAGACCCAATGGGGCAACGCTTGATCTCTTATCTTACACCCTGTCGTCCTGAGTTCTCCAACACATTGGAAGATGAAAAATCTTTGTGACTGAGAATGATCAGTGAAACAACCCACAAAAGCTCAGTGGATCAGCGCGACTGAGCTGCTGACTTCCAAGAAACCCCCCCCCCCCCCCCCCCCCCCCAGTCGGGCACTTCCGAGTGGGGCTGTATATTCGTTTCGGTAGATCCATATCAATGACAGCAGCACCCCTGTCTTATGTCAGTCCAACGTTCGAATGGCTGGCGTATATGTGCCCTCAGAGAAGGCGGGGCCGTCCAAATGGCAAACTCATCGAGGCAGGTTTACAAACTCTTACGGTTCATACGCATTTAATGCCAAAATCGCCCACGGCCAACGGCGTGTGTTTTTGTAACTGAACGAAGACCCTGTTTATGTGGAGGGGGGGGGGGACGTAAGTTCGCGTCTGTTTCAGCTTTACAAGCCGGCCATCCCGTGCACGTGGCCACCGGAAATGCTTTGCATATAAATCAACGGTTGAGGTCGAACTTCGAAGTCTGAAGAGACAAGAGTGGTGGAAGAGCCGACGCAGCTGATCAGCCAGCAATTGTCTATGTATCTGTCATTGAGAGAGATGTGCGATATCCTTTTGAGTGAAGATCTTAGTCTACCGAAAATGCACTCATGACCTGTAAAAACACGCAGAGTCGATCATTCGATACATATACCGCATGAATGCAAACCAATCATCGTTACTACAGAATTATGAGTGAAACCAAAAAGAGCTTGCTAAGTGAGAAAACGACAAAATTCAGGGGTTGCTTTCACTCTGTTCGTGCGTATCGTAGTTGGTCAAACCATTATTGATTATTATTATTGTCTCAAGATGAGCCTTAGACTTTCAAAAAATTTCAAGGAAAACCCCCGCTAGTCTGTTACTATGTACTTTGTTGGGTGCTAAGTGGGTGAAGGATGACACACAAGAATTTCAGATAAATCAATTGGTATAATTGAATGAGTTACATGGATGTATGTATGTACAATTGCAAGATCTTTCAAAAGAAGCGCAAATCGAAGATGATGATGAGGATAAATGAAGTCAGAACCATATATATAATATGAGTTACAACGATGATAGTCCTTGAGTTAGTGAACAAAAAAAAAGATAATTATGATAATCTTAATAATGCTACAAGGTTCAGGTGATAATAAGAATGAAAAAAAAAAATGATGATGATAATGAATAAGAAGAAAAAAAAATCCCAGAAAAGAAAGCAAAGATCATCCAGTCCCTATTTTCCCATGAAAAAAGACTAGTTACAAATAAATGGAAGAAGAAAGAAAAAGAATTGCTTGAATTGTTTTTATGTATTTGTTTGTTTGTTTTTGGAAAGAAGAAGGTGTTAAAAAAAATAATATCAACTAGTAATAATGATAGAAAAGAAGGAAGGAAGAAAGATGAAAGGAATGCGCAAAAAAAAGGGAAATGAATTGGAGAGAAATACATCAATGAAAGGCTTGCTTTAACGAAGTGGTGGATTATAAACACAAGGGGAAAGTAAATCAGAGTAGAGTCCAAGTGATAATGGCAGAAGAGGAGGAGAAAGGATAGGAAGCTGGGGATCGATTTGGGGGCGGCAAGATTGTGTCTAGCATTAGTGGTCGTCCCGCCGTTGCTAGTCACGCCGGCCCCATTAGCGGTCCCCGCGGAGCGGAGGAGCTCCTGGTATCCATTGGCGGGGGTAGCGAAGCCGACGGCCGGTCCACCGTCGCCGGCGGCGCGGAAGACGGTGTAGACGTTTTTCAAGAAGCTGTCTCCGATGATCCACGCGGGGGAGCTGCTGGACTTGGTGGTCGAAGAACTCGACGACGACTCGACCGCAAAGATCGAGCCGAGACACATCTTTCCATCCGAGTCCACAGCGCCAACGTTGAAGTCATCTGGCGCAATCGAGTACTGCTTCCCTCCGAAAGTGAGCGTCAAGACTGGGTTTGCGCTGCATGGGAACTGGTAATAACCTGAGTTCATCGATTGAGAATCGTCAGAAATCGATCACACTACTCCTTCTGCAGTTATAGATGAGAATTTGGATGTACCTTGGTAAGAGCCAGTAGCAGCCCGGGCGCCTGGGATCTGTGCGTAGACGGCAGCGACGATTGCAGTGGGAGCTCCGATCAAGGAAGTTCCAGTGTCGATGGCCACGGCATTACTCTGACTTCCAGTGAGCACCTGGCCGTTGATCGAGACGCTATCCATGGCGATAAGCCAGTAGGACTGGGACTTAAGGCTGATGTAGTTCACATCTCCCTGGAAAAGAGTGTTGTTGATCCCTCCAAGGGTCATCCCGATAAGCAGGTTCGACGTCGGTGGCGGTGGAGATGTTCCCCGAATTGACGTATACCAAAAGCAAAGGTATCAATC